GCCCTAATTGGCTAATACTGGCCACAGCTGCTGGCTCCACTGCTCCAGCCTTCTCCCAGGGCTGGGCTTTAACTTTTAAAGGGTCAGTGCATGGCAGATGCCCCATTACAGGAGCCTTTTAGAATATAGATGAGGAGAGGAGTTCTTGGATGCTGACTGACTTGTGAGAGGTGCGTCAGTTCTTGAGAGAGATGGAGGCAGAGGTCACGGAGGCTGATTAATCTCATCTATCTTTAGCTTCCCCTGTACTCTGACTTGTTTGCCATTTGACAGCTTGCTGCCACAGGAGTGATTGTTTGAGATCACAACTCCAGCACCATGGTCTCCCTACCCAGCAGATTTGGGAAGGAAGAAGAGAGAGACTGGCAAATTAATCAAGTCCCTATGTCAAATTCATTCTCAGAATGAGCAGGCGCACTTCCACTGTCCCACTTGTGCCAGGTCTGCAATTGACTCCTGTTTTAGCACACTATTAGCGTTGATAACTTAGCCACAATAAGCAGGATGGCTTTAAATAACAGGCAAAAAGAGAGTGAGATTCTGTTCTTTGTTAATATATGCCTTGGCACTGAAGTTGCTGTTTGAGGATAAAGAGTACTTTTGGGGGGGCTTGAAGCATGCCTGAATTCCTAGCAGCCTGAATTAATCTGACCAGACCATAGAGCAATATAGGTCCACATGAGTCAGTAGTGGTTGGACCTCCATGGACCAGCGCTCTCAGGACCTGATCTGCCCTGAGTGAGTTTGCGCCAGACCAGGGGAGGTCAGTTCTGGCCCTTCTGCTGATGGACTCTAGGTTCTCCCGGGGTCTGTCAGCAGACCCTGCCGGCTCCTCTGTGGGCTCTGCACCCCCACCCAGCTCTGCTGCTGGCCTGGCTGCTCGTCCAACTCCCCTCCTGGCCACTGGCTGTCTGGGCTCTGCTGCCAGCCCTGACCACAGCTGCCAGTCTCCTGGCTCTACTTGTGGCTGCCGGACCCTCGTCCTGCTCACAGCCAACAGAATCCCAGCCACTGCTGCTCTCTAGTCCATGTGCTCTCCAGACCATGGGTTTCCAGACCAGATAAGTTCAACCTGTAGTTAGAGGAGGGGTGGGCCACTGACCCACAGAAAAATCAGTTGGAAGCCACACACAAGTGAAAAGCAAAAAACCCCAACAAACCGTCACACTGCACACCAGAGCCTGGCTGGTGGGGGTGGGGGGGCAGATTAGTAGATTTTGTGTGCTCCAGCCCCATGGGGAAACAGCAGGGGATGGGTGATGGAGCATCAGCACACGCTCCCCAATGCTGGGGGGCAGAGCCCCAAGCCTCGGGGGCCAGATCCAGGCAAGCTGGGGGCCTCATCCAGCCCCCGGGCCTTAGGTTCCCCACCCGTGAGTTAGAGCATCACCACCTTCTAGAGCTAGATTTACTGCCAGAATAAAATGGCTCTCAAGTTTCTGTGGGGCAGACACACTGTCAACTTGGAATGTGCTATAGCCAATCAGATGCCGGCCCTTCGGAATGCCATCGTGCATTCTCTGATGACCCCTGCGATTTGGAATGTTGACTTGCCTATCAGATTCAGGCTCTTGTGCCTCCTGCTCCGCATAGTACTCAGGCTGACAAGAGTCAAATTTCGTGAGGGGCAGACAGACAGCTCGAGGGCTAATTACAACTCATGAAACAGGGTCCGTCCTTCTGATCCTTCATGCAATCACTAAACAGACTTTGTTTTCCCCTCAAAGCTCCAACAAAGCACTAAAGGCCTGGATTTCCTGTCTTGGAGAAAGCTCTTTCATCTCTTATTGAGCTCAGACAGTCCATTATTGCATGGGAGTCACACAGAAAGATGAGAAGGGAATTAACTTCAGCTATCTCAAGAAGCAGCTTGGATGTTTTATTCTATTATCCCATGATGGATCATTTAAAAAACACTGAAAACGGATGTTTTTTAAATGCTCCATCATGGGATAATAGAATAAACTTAAAAAACAACAAAGAGTCTGGTAGCACTTTATAGACTAACAAAAACATGTAGATGGTATCATGAGCTTTTGTGGGGCACAGCCCACTTCTTCTGATGACCAGACTGAAAAAGTGGACTGTACTCACGAACTCTCATGATACCATCTACATGTTTCATTAGTCTATAAAGTGCTACCAGACTATTTGTTGTTTTTTAAGTTTATCCTGTATAGACTAACTCGGCTACCCCCCAAAGCTTCAGGATAATAGAAGTTAGAGACAGAAAAGGCCTGTTAGATCAGCTATTCCAGCCCTTGCACTGTATAGGATTGTTTCTGCTGCTTTGTCCTTGGCCCTAGTTCACAATCATGCTCTTATCTTTCCTGCATTCAAATATTGCGCTCGTCTCTGATTTCTGTGGGTGAGCTGCATTTTTAGCAGGTGCACCACCTGTGGTTGGTCACACTCAGTCAGGATGGCTGAGTCAGTAACCAATGGGGCTCTCTATTCTGGCCTTTTGTGTACATATAGGTAACCTTTTCGGAATCCTCTCCTTGTAGGTGAGGAGCCAGCCAGAGGAATGTGTGCCGCTTGTTTGCATTCCTTTCTGAAAAGTAAACACTTTCCCAGACCTTAAAACGATCTCTGCAGGGGGTGATATAGCTCACCATGTGAAATCAAGCCAAGGAAGGTGAGGGGGAGGGAGCCTGCGGAGTCTGTGGGTTGGGGCCATGGGGTCGAAAGACTCTTGCATTGAAGGGAAGCCACCGATGGTTGTGATCAGCTTTCCCTTCACCCCCACTCTCCAGTTTCTCTGCCATTGTGCACCAGCCGCATCCACTGCTGCCTCTCCCCTATGCACAAGTGAGGTGGCTCCTTTTTTCCGTCTACATGTGATTGCTTTTTTTGGTGAGGGGGGAGAATGGGGTGCTGAGGTACACACCCTTTTCAATAGAGCTAACGTGGTGTTACTTGCTTGTGCCCTTCAGTGCAGGTGGACGGGTAACAGTGGGACAGAGTATGTAGCCATCTTGGATTTTGTGCTGAAGTTTATAATGGGCACGATGTACCCACTGGAGAACTGGAGATTTGAAGACCAGCCTTTTAAAAAATTAATTCTTGAAGTAGCAAAGAGTCACCTGTCTTACCTGGAGCCTTCAGGTTATAGTAGTGGGGCAGGAGGAACCAGATTTACCTGATCTTTTAAGACATGTAAAGCTACACTGGTATTTTCCTACAACGCCTGGTTTGGCCTACCCCCTTCTTGTTCTGAGTGCCGGGATGATTAATCTGGGTCTCCCCACATTTTGCTCAGTCGAAAGGCATATGTTGCTAAGTGCTTAAGAGCTGCATTAAATGGAGCAGATTGCAGCTGTCCTCCTGTTCGGAATATGATGGGCCTGGCGAGATTTGTTATCTCTTTGAGATACACAATGAAGTAGTACACTATTTATACAATGTAGTTAGTCATGGGCTGCATTACAGAGTCTGTGCCCACTGCAGGATCAGTGGCATCATGTCCAGAAATGCAGGGATATTTATTATTATTATTTATTTTTATTTTATTTGATCTGGAAGTAACTTCAGGTAACCCTCTGGAGCAAAGACCTTCTCTAATTCTACCCTCTCTGTCTTGAACCTGCCCCTTTGCAACACCAGCAGGGAGAGGTGTTGTATAAGCCGTTAGAGTGTTTGCCGAGATCCTTAGCTGTTGCTGTGCTCGTAGAAAGGTTGGGCCCGAAATGGGGAGAGAGAACCAATCTGCCAAGAGGGCTGTTTCGGACATGGAGGGTGAGGGGAACCCACGTGATATTCATGAGAGCTCAGAATGCCAAGGACTCAGCACTTTTGAAAATCTGGCCTTTAATGAGGTGCCTAAATGAGGCCCAGCTCTCTTGGAAAAATCAGGCTCAGCTTGTAGCTCCTGAGCTCTTAGAACTATGGCCCTGAGCTCGTCTGAAACTCTGGCCCCGATTGATCAGTGAGCATTTTAGAAGATGGGAAGGTTGAGGAGGGCCCTTTCTGGTCCCTAGCAGGTCTGTGTGTGTTGCATGCAGGTCAGTTGTATTGTGTTTACTCAGCCCTTGAAACCCCCCCGCCCTGCGCCACCACCATTTCACTATATATAGAATCCCAGCTGCCATGTCTGCCTGGTTAGTGCTTGTTTTCCCTCTGTAGGCTGGCCGTGTTCCTAGCCTATCCCGTCCTCTTGTCTGTGGGTGCGGGGTGGGACTGAGGCTTGACTATTACAGGGTGGAGGCACTGGTAACTCTGAGTAATAGCAGCTTGTTGCTCAGGACTCAACCATGAATAACAGCCTGGCAATTTCAGGAACTCCTCATTAAAGGGGACACTGAATGGGACTGAAATTGCCCCGACTTGGTGTTGGACCCCACTTCCCTTCATGCTCCCCTCTTTCTAAAGACCAGATGTTTTGGCCTCATAGGAAAATAAACTTAAAAACTAAGCAGCTTTTTGGTTTTTGCAGGGCTTACATAAAAACAAGGGGCATGTTTGGGCTCTGTCTCAGAGTGGTGTAAATCAAGAGTTAAACCGGAGTAATTGAGAGAAGGATCTGACCCAGCTTGGGGGTGCTGGCTGTGCAGCAGCTGCAAAAGGAACAAGCATTTTTCACCGTAGTGTCATTGTATTTTGGAGTTAGCTTGCCACCCTTTCCCCACTGGGCCTCTTCCCTAAGTCCTCACCCACCATACTGCGTAGTGTGAAGCTCACCAGGTAATGAACAAAGTGGGTGGGCAACACTGCTGGAGCAAAAATCTTGTCAGCCAGCAGAGCTGTTTGCAATAGTACTGTCAACTGGGCAGCAGTCTCCTCTCACCAGGCTGGGTTGGGGCTTTACAGGGATATTCTGGCCACATTCCTTTCAGTTAAGATTCTGGAGGGGCCTTGTTTTGGAAGTTTCCATCCCCATCTGAGAGCAGCCTGAGCCTTTCTCTCCTCGGTGACCACACTCCTCACAGGTGATCACTGAACAACAGTTGGAGGCAAACCAGGGCCTTTCTTAGCCTTGTCCTGTTTCTTCTTTTCCCCAGAGAAAGCTACCGATGGATCCCTGCAGAGTGAGAACTGGGCTCTCAACATGGAGATTTGTGACATCATTAACGAGACGGAGGAAGGGTAAGAGAGCTGGCCCCACTAACCTGTGTGTGTGTACTTGCTGCAACCCCGGAGTCTGCTGTGTATGAGTCTCCAAATACACCCCCCGGCACACACCCTGTCCAGTCCAATCTCCTAGCCAGAGAGGGAGCAAGGGCTGATGGGATAAAAGCCAGGTCACGAGACACTCCCAGAGGAAGGTCTGTGGTGGAGGGATTTAGAGGAGCAGCCCAGCTAATGTCAACTGCCAAAGACTTCATTTGTTATGCCCCACAGTTCCAGCTTGGGGAGCAATTTATCAGATGGGCCATCTGGTTTCACATTTACCCCCGGTTCAAACCAGTTCTCATTCTTCTGCTGCAAAGAAGTTTTGAAATTCTTCTGTTCTGTTGTATTCCTTTTCTATTGCCCTTTCTTATTCTCCCTTTCTCTTCCTGAGAGTTGTTCTCTCGGGCATTTTCATATACAGTATGTCAGATCCACGGAAGGGGATGGGAGGTCCAAGGTCCCCTCTCCCTGAGCAGCCCTCAGATGAGACCGTCAGAAATCCGGGGAATGTCAGACATGTTAACTTAGGATCCTATAAATAACCCACAGAGGGTTTGCTGGTGAGCTCCAAAGGAGCCGTTCCCTCTGCCCGCGGAGCCGTCAAGAACAGTATGTAACAGGCATGAAGCTACATGAAATTCAGAAGAGAGGCTTCACTGCTCACTCTGACCCACCCACACGGGGCTGCTAGAAAGAGAACTCCTAAGATGGCCCAGTCTCTAGTTACAAAGCTGTTTGTTCTCTGAGTCGCCCAGCTTTGCTCGTGCATCACAGCAGCAACCCACAGTCCCCTGTTCTGTTCCAGTCCTGGTGTCCTCACAGCCCCCTCCCCCCCCACCCGTCCTGCTCCCTCAGGCCTAAGCTGCAGTCCCCTTGCTATTCCTGTGCTGGGCCCAAGACAGTTCAGCCAATGCGCCTCAGTCCTGGCCTACAGCACCCCCTGTTACTCACATCTGGGAGGAGCTACCCCACAGCCCTGCTAATGCACTTCATTCTGACCTTCGACACCACCTCCTAGTACAGCCAGGACCCCAGTCTCCATTGCTCTGCCAGCTCATGTCAGTCTGCCGCACTGTCCCCACAATGCCTTTGTGCCACAGCATTTTTACCCTGACCAAGAAGTTTGAAAGGCACCAACTCAATTACAGCCTGACTCTCTCCCTCTCCAAAGTGACACTGCCGCCGCATCTTCCCTACGGTGCAGCCAGAAGTTGTTTCCACAGGTGGTGCATTTCCTAAGGTTTTGGGATAACCGCTCTGCATGGACGTGGTGTGTTTGTGGGGGGAGGAGGGGCTCTCTCTTCCGCCCTTGCTCCATCCCTGACAGCTGGCTCTTGCTGGCACACCCCCACGGAGCTGTCGATCCTAAACTTCCCCTTTCTGCCACAGGATTTTGCTCTGTCACGGCTGGCAAATCCAGAAGTGGCGTTTTCCTAGCACTGCTCCTTTTGTCTGCTCTTTCTCACTCTTTTTGCCTGGGTCGGTACACGGTGGGTTGTTGATGATTCAGCACAGATGCCCCTGGCTCCAAGAAATGGAACTTGCTAGCGTTAACTATTGCTTCCAAAGCGGAGCCAGCATGGAGAGCCCATTCACCTCTTGCTGTATTGGGCCACCGCAAAAGCCAGGAGGCAAATCATCAGCTGACTGCAACCCTACTGCAAGGCCCTGGAAACTGGCAGCCATATTGTATTGTGTCTCTGCAGCCAATCCAGCCCTCTGTGTAATCTTTCTCCAGGCCCAAAGATGCTTTCCGAGCCATAAAGAAGAGGATTGTAGGGAATAAGAACTTCCATGAGGTCATGCTGGCTTTAACGGTGAGTGATATGATCCCTTTCTCCACTCCGCAAGCCCCACTGTGAAGTCAGGTCCGGGGGGCGCTCTCTTCTTGGTCCTTGCCATCTCCCGTAGTAACCACAGTACAGCACCATTGGTCACAGGACTAAATAAGACTGGGAGGATGTGGAGGTGCCAACGAGGCGGGGTCTGTCCGTGAATGATAGTCCCGGCCTTGGAGTGGGGACCAAGGGGCTTGGAGTAAGGTGTGGGGTGGCATTGTAAAGGGAGTCTAGGGTGTGGCATCAAGACGATGGTCCAGCAGTGACGCTGAGTAACCACAGTACAGCACCATTGGTCACAGGACTAAATAAGACTGGGAGGATGTGGAGGTGCCAACGAGGCGGGGTCTGTCCGTGAATGATAGTCCCGGCCTTGGAGTGGGGACCAAGGGGCTTGGAGTAAGGTGTGGGGTGGCATTGTAAAGGGAGTCTAGGGTGTGGCATCAAGACGATGGTCCAGCAGTGACGCTGGCATCTTGGGAGCTGTGTCTGAATAGGAGAGGCTGGGGTTCCTGTAGGTGAAGGGCTCTCACCCCCTGGGCATGTGGCACATGTGACAGGCTTTACTTCAGTGCAATGAAGAACGTTGACCTGTGGGTTTTCTTTTTGGAGCCCTGTGTAGCAACCGATCCTGTATCGGCTCAGGTAAGGCCACTTCTCCCCCTCCCCCGTCAGCTAGGAAGCTGAGCTAGCCAGCAGTTATGAGGACCCCAGCAGGGTGAAAAGTCCCTCCTTCATCCTCACCTCCCTGCCCCCCTCACACCGCTACCATGTGGACGTAGAAGTGCTAACACTTCCTGAAAGGAGGGGGGAGGGGGATTCAGTTCCCCCGATTGGAGGAGCGAGGCAAATCAGACAGAATGGAGGGGCCAGAAACTAACACGCCAGTGACTCCACAGGTTCTAGAGACGTGCGTCAAAAACTGCGGCCACCGCTTCCATGTTCTAGTGGCCAGCCAAGATTTCGTGGAAGGTGTCTTGGTGAGAACCATCCTCCCCAAGAACAACCCGCCCACCATAGTGCACGACAAGGTGCTGAACCTCATACAGGTGAGTGAGGGACAGAAGGAGTCAACAAGCCTGATTGATGGGCCTCTCTCTTCTCCCTTGGCAAGTTGCTGGTCATACAGGGCAGTCGGGGAGCAAGGAACCAGGATCTCCCACAGTGCAATGCTGAATAATTACTTCTGGGCCTCCGGGCCTCACCCCCACAGCTCTTCCAGAGAATGGGAGATGGCTCTCCAGCATGGCAGTGCCAAGCATGGGTCTCCAGAGAGAGGCTCCAACCTGGGTTATGTTGTCCTTAGGTGAGTGTGTAGAAGAGCTCATGCCTTAACTGGTCATGCTCTTCTCCCCAGTCCTGGGCAGATGCATTCCGCAGCTCACCAGACCTGACGGGCGTCGTAGCTGTGTATGAAGATCTGAGGAGGAAAGGCCTGGAGTTCCCCATGACTGACCTGGACATGCTGTCACCCATCCACACACCACAGAGGGTAAAGGGAGCAGGGGAACCTCTGACATGAGGGGCTGCTGCAACGGGGGGCTATGAGAGTTGGGCTAGGGGATGGGGCTGTGACTGCAGCCAGCCCACAGAGCTTTTCTTGGGAGTAAGGGTCTCTGATTGTAGCCCACTTGTGGGCCATGTGAGGGTATAAAAGGGGCTGCGCCCATAGCACAGAAGCCATGGAAGTGGCACCAGGAGGGGATGAGGTGGGGACACGGGCTGCGGACGTATGGTAAGGAGAAGCAGGTGGAGCTGTTGGAAGCAGACTGAGTTTGCATAAACGTTCCTCCCTAGCGGCTGTCTCCTCGCACCTCTGAGCTGTCTGACTCGTCTCTCGTGCACTGTACTTGTTCCTTTCTCTCTCCAGACTGTGTATAGCTCTGACTCTCCGTCCGAACAGACCTCACCTACTGGTGACTGCCCTCAGAGACTAGACTCCATCCTGCACCCTGTCTCCTTGCCAGGGGGGCCAGAAGCCTCCAGCGATGCCCCCATTACTCCCACACCAGAGCAGGTAAGCCCAATGCCGGCCCAGTGGTGCTGCTGCCACCTCCCCTTGCTTTGAGATTCTTTGTCCCAGTGCTGCTGCTCTGGGCTCCCCCTTCCTAGAGGAGAGTGGCTTTTTTTCCATGACTCTCGAACTCGGTCACTCCCGGGGGTCCTAGCTGTGATGTCACCAGCCCAGGGCAGTGGCATCCCTGCCCAGGTTGAGTGCAGCCAGCTAGGAAGCAGTTGGCGTCTCCTGAGTCACCACCCCTCGGTGAGGAGCAGTGCTGGGACAGAGAGATTTTATAGGAACAAGCTGCTGGCTTCCATTTCCTCCACGCCGCCTCATGGCAACAGTTTGCTCAACCAGTTTCTCATTTTCATCTCCGTTTGCCCCGCCCCAACTGATTTACTTTTATGTGTGTAACTCTCCCGCCTGTCAGCTCTGCCCGGGGAGGAAGTGCCCAGGGCCAGTGCTTCCACGCCTGTCCCTGTCCCTGCCACACCCCCATCCACACAATGTGACCTCTGACTCTTACCCCCTTCGCCTAGAAGGAAGGAATTCTCCAGCTACTTGCAGACTGTGCCCTTGCACTAATGGGAGGTGAGTTAACTGCTCTCCTGAGGCTCATTAGCAGCCTCCTGCACTCAGCGCATGCCCTCACTCGGACTGAGCTTTATTTTGTTCTCCTGCACTATTGGTTTCACGAGTGAGACTCTCAGAATGGCTGCAAATTAGGGCCTGGGTCACAAGAGCACCTTGTGCTAGCCTGTAAAATGCAGAGCTGCAGCTTGGAAACTGAGGCTGGTGGCAGAAGGTTTTGTGAGTGGCCTGGGTTCTGTCTTCAGCATGTGGAGCCCCACGAGATGCCTTAGAAAGCTTAGAAAATTCCCAGCAGGGAGAGCTCCTGAGACAGTAACCACAGAGTCAGAGCTGAGTCTGCAGCAGCAGCAGTTCTCTTAGCCCATGACCCTACCTCTCTCCTTAGCCCAGGCTATGGGCAGACAGCTCCCGGTCAGCACGTTCTTCTTGCGTTGGCAGGTTGGGAAGCTGCGCAGCGAGCTGGAAGTGGTGAATGGGAACGTGAAGGTGATGTCCGAGATGCTGGCGGAGCTGGTGCCGGGACAGGCTGAGCTCTCTGATCTGGAACTACTTCAGGTAAGGAATCTGCGGCAGGTGTCAGGGGAAGAGAGAGAAGTACAGAGGACTCGGCACAGTGGGGGATAAGTGAAATGAGCCTCTCTGCCAGGGAGAGAAATTGCACTTAGTTACCAAGGGGCTGGGCACATTTCAGAGAGAATTATTTAGGATGGGCTCCAGTGGAGTATAATGAAGAGTGACAGGGTAAAATTAAGAGAGGGGAGAATTTAGTCTGAACTGCAAGGAAAAGCTGCCTGCTGGTGAGAGCTGTTAGGCTGTGGAATATACTCCCCAGGGACTGTCTATTTCTGACTGGGAAATTGGGCATTTCTACCTAATTGGGGCCAGATTCTGCTTTCTCCAGCTGGGCGAGCCGACCAGGCCATTATCTGTAAGAGCCCCTTATGGAAGTCTCCATAGGGCCTGGCTTTTAACCCCTCTCTGTCAGGCCCCCTCAAAGCTGTGAACTCTCAGGCTTCCCATGAGCCCTTTTGCCTGACCATTGTGGTTCCTCCTTCTCACGGTGGGCAGGAACTGAACCGGACGTGTAAAGCGATGCAGCAGCGCGTGCTGGAGCTGATCCCTCGTATCCTCCATGAACAGCTAACGGAGGAGCTGCTTCTTGTCAACGACAACCTCAACAACGTGTTCCTGCGCTATGAACGGTACCCTGGAGGCCCCCCCCCCATCTTCTTCCTTGCCCCACACGGAGCAGCCCAGCTCTTTCCCAGGGAGCAAGCCACAGGCTCCGTCTCCCCTGGCAGCTCCCATTCTGCCCCACGTCCTGTCTCCCTCTTTCCACAAACGTAAAGGGCCAGGCCTGTCAGGCCGTCTTCCCTCTACCCGAGAAAACGCATGGCCCTCACCACTCCAGCTCCTCTTGGTTTATTTCGGCCCTGTTGTGGTGCTTGTCCTTGGTGTAATTATCGATGGAACATGATGAGATAGCTCTCTGCAGCACCACTCCGAAGGGGCAGATGGGAGCTGTATGGGAGGGCTGCTGAGCAGGCCCCCATACCCGAAGGCTACTGAGCAGAACAGAGAGGGTAGACACGCAGACCTCTAGCATGTCACATTCTGCCAGGCCTTCCTGTAATTCTATAGGCGATTGGAATGAATTGTGGGAAGAAGCAAGGGATTCCCCCCCATTGAAAAAGCAAAGTTGTTCCTGGGTGCTTTGGGGAGGGAGTATTTCTAGGGGGACATGAGACACTTCTCCATTCTCCCAGGACATGCCCTGTTGGATTTTCTCCAGTAACTGTTACTTTGAGTCAGACCCAGGCCCCAGAGAGCTGGTGGGGTGGGGGGTTCCCTTCTTCCTCCAGGTGTGAAGGGGCAGGATGAGATGGGTTGGTGGAGATGGGTTAAGCCACCAGGAGCCGGGTGGACAATTGCTTGAAATGCTTAGCAACTGTGAAAGTTCTTGCCATGGAACCGCATCTCATTTCACCTCTTCCTCACAGATTCGAGCGGCTCCGGGCAGGCCAGCCCACTAAGGTAACTCGGAGCTCTCTTCCCAAGCAGGGTTCTGCACATGTTGTGGATAGGAATATACCGAAGCCAGGGTTTGCATCCTCCCCAGCTCGCTGTGTCAGGGTTGGGTGGAGGGAGAATCGCTGTGCCTTGCTCACAAGCTGGAAGTGCTGCTCCAAAACCCAGCTGCCTTGCTGCATCGGCGTGGCCTGCGCTGGCATGTAGGAGACAGGCCCAATCCTAGCAACTCACGTGTTGGGCTGGCAGCAGCGTGGGTGTCCAGCTTGGTCTCTCGAGCTGGGGGTTGTGACCTGTAGGTGGATAACAGAGGGGTATCAGACGGGTGTATTGCTCACCGAAGGTCAGGGGAGAGGTTGAGAACCTCCAGTCTCAGCACTGTTGTGGCCACGGGCCTAGTGCTGGATTGGCTAACATCCAGGAGAGAGGGGGGACGGTGACCTAGGGAGGATCTGCTTTGCCTTCATTCCCCCTCACGGAGCAGGGGAGAGACCCTGTGGCCGCCGGTGGTGAGGGGATCAGTGAGGGCTAGGCCCAGGCTGCAGGAATAGAGAAGAAATAACTCTCCCCTCTCCCCAAAGGTCCCAAATGAGGTGGAAAACAGTTCAGCCCACACAAGGCCCAGTGCGCCTCTTCCAGTGAAACAGCCTGAAGCTGCCAACAGCCTCTCCTCTCAACTGGCTGGAATAAGTAAGTAGCCATTCCGTGACCCCTCCTGGGTGCTGGGCTCCTCAGGTCAGGGGGCCGCAGTGTCAGACGGGAAATATTTGGGCGGTGCTCTGGAGACGGGAGGGGTGATGGAAAATCAGGCACATTGTTTGTAATTATTAGGGCGTGTGGCTCGCCCTGTCTTCGCAGCCCTCAAGGGGCATCACCCGGGAGTCAGTGCAATAAGCTGGTGAACCTGGTGCTCTGGACAGGTCCTGGTTTGAACGGCAAATGCAACCACTGAATAGTCAGAGAGGGGGCTTCCCCTCCCCCAAGCCGCTGACCAGAGGGGAGGCCAGGAAGAGGGCCCCAGAGCAAAAGTCCTGTTTTAAATAGCATTCAGTTTTGAAACTAGCTTCTTGTGGTGTTTCCCATGTGCTGTGCGTGTCCTTTCTTCTTGCCCCTGCAGATCTGGGCTCCGGCAGCGTCAGTGCAGGGCTACAGGCCCTAGACAGCTCTGGCAGACTGGAAGAAGACTTCGACATGTTTGCATTGACCCGGGGCAGCTCGCTGGCTGAGCAGCGCAAAGAGTGAGTGATAATACCTGTTTGCTGCTCCCCTTTGTGTTCTTTTGGGGTGTTGGGTTGCAGGGTACTGGGGGGAAGGAGAAGACTTGGCTGCAAGGAGGCAGGGGGCCTCAAAGTTCCCAGTTGCTCATTGGTCATGAGAGTCCTGAGGCTGAGGAAGGAACTAGCTCTTCCCATGTACTGTTGTGAGAGGGTTGCTGCTCTCATCTAAGCTGTTTCCTCTAAGAGGCCTGTGTTACTTACTCCCTGTCCAGGGACAGGAGGGGGAATGTTACCCATGTCCATATGTCACTTGCTTGTTGGTCACAGAGAAGGTCACTGTGTCTCCATTGCCAGCTGGGCAATAAAGGATGGATATTGTAGGCCTGCAGTGGATCTGTCTCCTCCACTGTCTCTGAATTTTTGGGTAACAGTGCTCTGGGTGGGCTGATAGCAGTGGGGACTGAACTTGGGACCTCTAGATTTCAAACCATGAGCACCTAGTGGGTGGCAGTGTTGTTACCTAGTAGATTATTGGACTGGGATTCAGGAGACTTGGATTCTATTCCTAAGTAGGCCACTGGCCTGCTGGGTGACCTTGGATAAGTCACTTCCCCTTTCTCTGCCTCAGTTTCCCCATCTGTAAAAGCAGGAGGAGGATGCCACTGCTAAGGATGTTAAATATTGGTTAATTTCCTTGTTGAGTAGTGGATGGAATTTCCATCGACTAGTCAATAAGCACTTTCACATTCCTCTTTTGAAATGTACAGGAGCCCCTACAGGGCTCCTGTACATTTCAAAAGAGGAATGCGGAACTCCACGTGCAGCCCGGGGCCAGCGGGAAGTCCCACTGACTCCAGGCTCCAGAAAGGCACTTCTTCTTTGAAGCGGAAGCACTGTTGTGGAACCTGGAGTCAGTGGGACTTCCTGCTGGCCCCAAGCTGCACGCAGCATGCTAGCTTTGAAATGTACACGAGTCCCCAGCAGGGGCTCTTGCGCATTTCAAAGCGGAAGCGCCCACATGGAGCTTGGGGTCAGTGGGGCACTCAGGCTATGTCTAGACTGCAGGCTTCTTTCGAAAGATGCTCTTTCGAAAGCATCTTTCGAAAGAGCATCTTTCGAAAGATCGCGTCTAGACTGCACGCGGATCTTTCGAAAGAAAAATCCGCTTTTTCGAAAGAGAGCACCCAGCGAGTCTGGATGCTCTCTTTCGAAGACGGCCTCTTTACATTGAAGAACGCCTTCCTTCGAAAGAGGAACTTTCGAAGGAAGGCGTTCTTCCTCGTGAAACGAGGTTTACCGCCATCGAAAGAAAAGCCGTGTTCTTTCGAAATAATTTCGAAAGAACGCGGCTTGAGTCTGGATGCAGGGGAAGTTTTTTCGGGAAAAGGCTACTTTTCCCGAAAAAACCCCTGAGTCTGGACACGGCCTCAGAGTCCCACACTTACCCTGGGCTCCATGAGGCGCTGCTGATTTGAAGTGCCGCATGGAGCCGGGGTCAGCTCAGGACTCCCCAGCTGACCTCGGGTTCCATGGAAATGCCACATGGAGCCTTGGGTCAGCTAGTCCCCAAGCAATGCTGCCCCTTTGAAATGCCACCACAGCATTTCAAAGCAGCGGAACTGCACAGAGCCCTTTCCAGACTCTGTGTGGTGTTGCCGCTTTTAAGTACTCCTTCACAGGATTTCCCCTCCGGACCACGAGGGTGCCCGCCTCTTGGTACCCCTTGGTGGGTCCTAGGAGCCCTGCTCATGCTCCCAGCGAGGGCCAGGAGGGGTTTTGGGGGGCTTGTGGATGTGCCATCATTGAGCAGGCCTGTGGCAGGGAAACCCATATGGTCAGGTACTGCTCCCAGAGCCGGCTTCCAGCCACAAGGCTTGTCCAGGGTGCCTGCAGCTTTAAGAGGGGCCAGAAATCAGGCCCTATAGAGTTGTGATTACTTTGGACGGAGTTTCCACCAAGGCACCTGTGTTATTTCCTGGAGGCCTTTTCTTTCAACAACAACAAGAAACTCCTCTTCCCTGTCCACACATGCCTTTTTCAGAAAGAGCTCTTTCAGAAAAAGGAGCTCTTTCGGAAAAAGGCTTCTTACCAATGTTGGAAAAATCCCTGCTTTCTTTCGACTTTCTGCCAAAAGAACGCAATTGCAGTATGGACATCAGTGTAGTTTTTCCGGAAAAACTCTGCAGTGTAGACATACCCTTATAGTAGGGTTGCCAGGTGTCCGGTTTTCACCCGGACTGTCCATTATTCAGGTCCCCCATCTGGTAAAAAAAACCAGAAAATACCAGACATGTGAAATGTCCTGTATTTCCTGTTTCCCTCGGACGGAAGCCCAGTGGGGATAAATTTCCCCTGCTATGTCGGGCGGGGGAGTGAGGAGCGTGGGGCCATTTAAAGGCGCAGTGCCCCCCCCTTTTTTTTTTTCCTCAACAGAATTTTTTCCCAGTGTTTATTTTGGGGGGGGGGCGGGGGGTTGGTATTTTTGGTTAAACCATCTGGCAACCCTACCTCATAGAGGCAGCAAACGGGTAAGGGGGGGGGAAGCAACTAGTCCTTAACATCTATATCCACGGTCTTCCTCTGTTAAGTGCTTTGAGAACTCCTGAGGAAAAACACTGTGTAAGAACTAGATACACTATTGCTGCTTCAACTAAGAGCCTAGCCTCCATCACTCAGCCTGTGTACTTGAACTAGCCACTAGAGGGGGATAGAGAGACACGCTGTTCCCTTCATCTTGGCTCCTGCCTGTGTTTCAAGTTTTAAAACCATGAGTTCCCAGGACTTAACCCACTGGAGTGCACTGTGCCCACACATGTTCCTTGCGGCAGAGCAAGGCTGCCTTTGCCACTGATCCCTCCCCTGCCCAGTCTGCCTCTCGTACTGCTGCTGGGAATTGTAGCTGTAGTCCAACAACATACCGCTTTTGTTGATTTTAGCTAGGTGGGATGGAGTTTATTAACCCCTTGATGGTTGATGTAGGAGTCTTCCTGGTGAGGAGCAGGGCTCTCGGTGGAGAATACAGATCACCAGTGTTCCCTATAAGTTGCGCTGTTGTGCGGCCATTCGGGAGAGATGCCAGTGATGCCCAGCTGATTAGCAGAGCACCCACAGCTAGGTTTTGTGTTACAAATGGTGCACATTTGTAGAGCTCTGTGTGAATACAAAATTTGTATCCTCATCTGTACCTGCAAAAATGAGCTGCAGATATCTGCATATCACAGCTGTAAAGCAGAGAACTGCAGATTTGCAGGGCTCTACAGATTCACACATGCCTCAGAGCACATAAAAATTTACTCCGCACATGGATGGAAAGATTAGAAGGAACATTGCCAGTTACCCTACTAGGTGGGCCCAATACTCTGTGGAATCCTGCACTCTGTCGTACAGGTTTAGATCCATTGGCTGTCCAGCCTGGTGTCCTGTTTCCAGGAAGTCAGACTTTAAAATTCTGGTACCTGTTTGGTTGTGTTCATTGCTATTTCCTAACTCTCTGATTTGGCTTCTGTTCAGACACTACTTTAAAATGATGATTCAGTAACCAGTTCAACCGTGTTTGAACAGTTCAGGTATTTTTCCTTTGGATTCAGGTCAGGCACTCTTATGCTGGTGGTGTAACTCCTAGCAAAAGAATCCAACGATAAATATTTCTTCCATTGCAGAAAAACTATTTATTTTTTAAACAAGTTATTTGCACGCAATAGTACAGCATCCTCCAGAACTTCATCCTATTTGATCGCGGAGGTGGCAAACTGGGTATCATCCCAGAAAATGCACACTGCTTTGCGTAGCAACAACAAGCAAGAAGTGGGAGGAGGGAGGAGACACAGAGGGGAGAGAGGTATTCTGGGAGTCGTGGTTCCCTTTCATTGGCAGTCCTTTACCTGGGCATAACAGCCAAGAAACATCCCAGAATCTGTCTCCCTCTTGGTTAATTTTCTCCAATGACTTCCTGAGGACACCAAATGAAATTAATGGGTACCAGGTTTAAAACTAATAAGCAAAAGTTCTTCTTCACACAGCGCGTAGTCAACCTATGGAACTCCTTGCCAGAGGAGGCTGTGAAGGCTAGGACTATAACAGAGTTTAAAGAGAAGCTAGATAAATTCATGGAGGTTAGGTCAATAAAAGGCTATAAGCCATGGAGTAGGAATGGTGTCCCTGGCCTCTGTTTGTCAGAGGCTGGAGATGGATGGCACGAGACAAATCGCTTGATCATTGTCTTCGGTCCTCCCCTTCCGGGGCACCTGGTGCTGGCCACTGTCTGCAGACAGGCTACTGGGCTAGATGGACCTTTGGTCTGACCCAGTACGGCCATTCTTATGTTCTTATGTTCTGAGAACTATAGTCTCTCCCCCTCTCTTCAAGTGTGCAACTGAGACACATTCTTCCTTGATACTCCCCCTCCCCCAAATGTTCCCTCCATACCTGATTATTAAACCTGTTCTTTTGAACCAGTCACTGGTTTGGCAGAGTTGGGGGGTTCAATTCCAGTTCAGGTTCAATTTTTAGGTCAGGGTTCATTTTCCAGTTCACTCAATGAAAACTTCTCTGAACCAGTTTTCAGGTTTGGTTCAACTCCCTGCCTGTTTCTGCCAGGGGCCAGTGCTGACTGGACTAGAGTCCCAACTAGGGTTGTTAAATTGTGTTTAATCAACTAATCAACTAGTCGATGGAATTTCTGTTGATTAGTCAGTAAGTGGGGAAAACTGTGGAGCTGCAGCGCAGTTAGCTCCCTGGCACAGGAGCTAACCCTGCTGCGGCTCTACCTTTTAAATGCATTAAGAGCCGGCACAGTGGGGGGTGACCAGGCATGATTCGGGAATTACCTATCCCGGCTAGCGCCTGGTCTCCCTCACGCCTCCCTGCGTGTCTGCTTTTTAAATGTATTAAGAGCCTATCAGCTCTTAATACATTTAAAAAAGCAGAGGCATGGCGTCTGGGACTAGGCGCAAGTCGGAAATCAGCTGATGCCCAGCTCACGCCCGATCTCCCATTACACCTCTGCCTGCACTGCCCCCCACAGAGATGGTGCTGGGGGGAACCAGCTTTTAAGCTGTCTTCCCCAGCACCGGCTCCTGCTTCCCCCC